ACCCTATTCAACTGTGAATTTTATTCAATTTCGAAGTTTGTCGGTTACTGACCGACTTAAATTCGAGTTCGAGTCAAATGTCCGAGTCACTGTTTAACTGTCTTTGTCGATAAAATGATTTAGTACCCTAACCCTAAAGCTACTCCTAACCCTATTCGACTGTAAATTGTCTTCACTTTCGTCTTTTTTTACGCGACTCGGGCGTTTGACTCGGGCTCGGGACTGACTCAGACTCGGATGTGACTCGGGAAATGGATTTACTCCAAACTATTCGAGGAACGTGGAAGACCACTGATCAGTAGAGAATGTCACGAGTGAACTGTATAATTCCATCGCAGTGCTGTGCACAGTTAATGATATTGCACACTGTTCGGTATAATTTTAACACAGCATATCCACACAAAATAATTTGTGTTGTGGTGGGAGAAAATTCGTTTGAGTAGAAGCTATCTGTTTGAGTACAAGTTTGGATTTGTACATTGTATCCATTGATGAGATCCATCCATATGATTATTGTAGCTGTTAAGTTATTTTCGTATAGCCATACTAATGAATTTAGGTAAGATTATCTTGCAAGTGGTTGTTCTGATGGAATTATCCAATAAATATATCAAGTACATTTGTTTGTCATTAATTGTTGTATTAATCTCTAAACAAAAACATTTATGTTAGACTAAAGCAAAATTGTGGGTGGAAGATGGGTGGTAGGGGAGGGGGGTGGTAGTAAAAAAACTTGCTTACCTGGTGATTCTGTTATTAGCATTTGGAAATTAGTAAATTTTGTTTAACTCTAATGTGTGTAAAACCAAATTGTGTAAGTATTTAAGTGAATTGTGTCAAGCTAATGACTCTTGTCCCAATATAGAAATATTTCTATCATGACATTGCTAAGTTTGCTTAATGAAAACAATTAATTAAGGCACAAACTGCTTTATGATCTGAGAAATAAGTTTCTGAAATGTGTGAGCTAACTTGTGACTCTGGTTAATTTGTAGCACAGTTTGAATGAGACTTGGTCTATTCTTCTAATGCTGCCAGCTGGTGCTGACATCATTATTTGATTGAACTGAACTGGTTAAATCAATTTCGTCAAGAGCAGTACGGAAGCCATCAAGATTACCCATGCGGTAGTCAAGAACAGTCCTTTAGTTAGCTTCGTGGTCGCTTTTATGGAAGTTTTTAGATGGAAAATAATTGGGGTGTGGTCAGTAAATAATCCACTTTGTGTCGGGTCAAGAGTTGTGATATTTCCTACCTGGTTTGCTACGCTACTGATAACTAAATCTAGAATATTATCACCTCTTGTCGATAGGTTATTAAGTTGTCGAGCTGGGTTAAGTAGAAATCATATAATTGTTCTGTAAATGCAACTTCATCTACACCTGTGGTCTGAACCGGGGTTTCCCGTTAATTTTAGGGAGGTTAAAGTCACCACAAATCAAAATGTTTTCATAGCATGATCATGAAGAGCATTGAGCTAAAACATGATCATGAAGAGCATCAGACGGGCCTGGAATTTCACGGGATGAACCAAACGTGCTTGATTTCACTGATAACAAAACGCCACCACCAGCGCGATCGTTTTTCTTAAACATAGCTGCGATGTTAGCAAGCTTCCAATTTATCTATTTTATTTTACAAGTTTGCCATTGCAATAGTTCTCCAGAGTACCATAGTTACAAATGACTGGAATTTCCACACAGAGATAGTTCTCTCATAACAGGGTTGCAAAAAAGAACAACTAGCTTATAATATATCTAATTATTTTAAAATTAAAGCAAACATAGCAATTAAACACAAATATGAGAAGACAAAGCAAACGTATTGACGAACAAACGAACAAAAACTAAATTTAGCAACATGTTCGAATTGATAAGTTCATTAGTGGGCGAGTGGTGTGATATTTAATCAAAATGGCACACGGCGCATTTGAAACGAGCTCTGTTAGTTGGACTCAAATTAACCCTCTTAACTGGGATTTATAATGAATATTATGTTTTACTTATGATGGAAAAATATTTAAATGATCTGAGACTTTTGAAATATTTAGAAATATTTTTGTCAGTCAACCTGGCTTCTGGTCGGCATCGGGAGGAAAATATAATAAGTTTTGTAGCTCCAATACGGATCTAATTATTTCGTGGAACTATGATCTCGGTAATTTGTCTTCCAAAAGTAAAATTGGAGATACTTTGAAAACTTTACTTATTCATATAAGCACAACAACAGTGACCACATTGTCGGATAGTAAATTTCTCGACCTCGGTTCTGTCTACCGAGGATGAATCGTCGCATGTCGCCCAAACTACTTTGGAAGCTGGCGGAAAGGGTATAGACATGCAGCGACAGTATTGAACCTAACCATGAAACACTAATACCTGTTTCTGACAGCTCAACTGTTTATGATAGTTTATCTCTAGACCAACTACAGGAATTTATTGATGCATCATACCAAAAGACCTTGGCATATGAATTATCCCTTGCCGCATCATCGACAGTTCAACCCCTTTTAAGCCACAACCTGTCAAATCTTCGACCCTGAACCCAGTACATGAACAGTTCAATATATTTAAAGAAAATATCGAGTCCAAAGTAACGGCTTTGATGACCAAAATTGCAAACAAAAATTATTGAAAATAATAACCATGAGGAGTTATACAAATTGTCTAATGAAAATCTGCATTTGAAATCACGATTATCTGACTTGGAGAAGACCTTCTACGCGACAAAAATGAGACCCCTACAATTTAACGACTCTAAATCTTGGTGGAGCACGATCAAAAAAATTTGTAATTCCAGTAAAAATCAACAGATTTTCCTCACGAACTCTGAAAATGGAGAACCACTGACATCTTCAGAGTCAGCTGGAGAAATTAATAATTACCTTGTCAACGTGACTAAAAATTATGTAAAGATCTCTGACTATCAATACATCTTTTCGAGAGGAACGTTTTGGATAGATTTGGAGAGCGTATAATTGCTGTCCTATTCCTAAAGTTAAACCATGCACAGAGACTGAAAATGTGAGACCAAATTATAGTTAAAACCAGTATTTTTTCAAAGATTCAAGAAAGTTATGCTTTGGAATGGATGCTTCATGATGCAAAGGAAAACATTAACGGCCAACAGTTTGGAGGATTGGTAGGCTCGTTACCTGTGCCGGGATTGGACGCACCGAGGGTGGCTGGAAGTTTCCCGAACTCACCGAACGAAGAGAAGTTTAATATCCAAATTTCATGATATTGTCACACAAGGTTCTCTTTATATTTGCACTTGTTGTGACCAATTATGATACAAGCATATAGTGTCATTCCAGTCACAACACTTAAAGAAAATAATCCTGATGTTCAAAAAAGATTGTTAAATAGAAAAAACGTTAATAAAATTAAAATGGAGTGGTTGTGTAAAACCTGTAATAAGTATTTAAAAACAACAAGGTGCCTCCTTGTGCTGCCGTAAATGGGCTGCAGTTTCCAGAAAAACCTTCACTTTCGATCTAAATGAATTAGAATGTAGATTGCTTGGTTCAAGACTTGCATTTCAAAAATTAATGCAGGCTCCTAGTTGTTGCAGACAACTAAAAATCAATGGAAACATTGTTAATGTTCCAGCAGATGTTGTTAATACTGTTAACATGTTGCCAAGGTCTCCAAATGAGTCCAGCACAATTAAAGTTAACCTTAAGAGAAGATTGCAATACAAAAGTTCTGCTTTATGACTACACGTCAGACCAAATAAAGTATTAGAAGCTGCCAAATGGATTGTAAATAATGGTAATCTTTATAAAGATGAAGGTATAACTTTCAATGACACTTGGCTTGAAGATAATTCAAATACTCAAATGGTATTTGATGATAGTGACAATGATCAAACTTCAGAGGGTTCAGAAAATGTTCTGGACTGTAATGCAGAAAGCTTGAATTGTGATACAGAATGTAAAACCCAGCAATCATCTGCATGTGATGATGATGATGAACACTGGAGTGAAGGCGAGGCAGAAATACCTGCTGGAATCACTGACACTATGTTAACATCTCCAGATTTTGTCACTGATAATGAACGTCAGCATATTTTAAATGTTGCACCTGGTGAGGGCAATAGGCCTATGAGTATATTTAGAGATAAATACTCAGAGGAATTAGCATATCCGGGTATATTTCTAGGACAGACGCAACCAGACAATACAAATAGACTAACCAAAGTCCATTATGGTGAAATTTGTAAATCTGAATTAAGGAGGTCTGACCGAAGGGCTGCAATGTGTGTGGAAAATATTTTCTTTAAAACAAAGAAATTGCAAATGAAGATTTTGTTTGGGCAATTACAAGTTGCACTGAGAAAATGTCAACGAAATAGTGACACAATCACTGCCGGTCAACTAAAACAACCGGGTGTATTAGATAACATGATTCATCATGATCAAGGATTTAAATTTCTTAGAGTTGTAAGGGGTTCACCTCCATATTTTAAAAAAGCTAAAAAGGATATATTTGCAATGATCAGGTAATTAGGATCTGCTTCATTATTTTGTAGTTTTTCTTCAGCGGAAACACAATGGACTCATTTAATGAGAATACTTGGTAAACTTATTGATAATAAAACATACACAGACGCTGAACTTGAAAACCTCAATTGGGAAGAGAAAAGTAGGTTAATTCAAAGCGATCCTGTGACATGTGCCAGGCATTTTGAAGAAGATCAATACCACATATACATTATGTTGGTTTGAGCAGGGTAACAGCAACTAAAGGTTTATTTATCACTGACCTATGTGAAGATAAAATAGCTGTCAATCCTTGTGTAGCAGCTGAAATGGAACATTTGAGAAATAAACGTGTACTAAAACTAAGTGTCACTTCTATTTATAAGATACATTTCTGAACGTATAGTTAAGGACTATATAGTGACTAAAAAGATCAAAGGTCGGAACTCGCCTCCATGGATAGATGGTGACATTATCCACGCAATACGGAAAGCTGAGGTCATCTCCAACTGACGCGCGCTGAAAGTCAAATTCAAAGAAATGCGAACCAATGTTAAAGAGATGATTAGTATTAGCCGAGCAAATTTCTTTGACTCCCTTGAAGATAACTTTCTGTCAAACCCAAAGAGATTCTGGTCGATATTTAAACTTAGCAGCAAAAAGTCTAGAATTCCTGAAACCATGTCACTTGGAAAGGATGATGGGTACAGTACTACAGTGCTCAGTCCCAAATTCGCTCCGTATCCACCCCTCCTACTATCTCGCAAATTTTTAATTAATGACTACTTTGCGTCTGTCTTCAACCGCACTGAATTGGAAGAGCATCTGTCCTCGCCTCTTCTTACGTCTATAACTCCAGACCACGCTCTTTCTGATATTTCCTTAACAACCGAGGAAGTTCTAAATAAACTTCTAGCTCTCGACCCCGACAAGGCCACACTCAAAGAGACTGCACAACAGATTGCACCATCACTGACCGAGCTTTTTAATATCACTCAGCTGTGGCGTTTTTTCTGACGACTGGAAGCGTGCGAACATGGTGCCTGTGCATAAAAAGGGGGAATAAACGTTATGTTGAGAATTACTGTATAGATCCCATCTCACTTCTCAGCCTTATATCTAAAGTCCTAGAACGGTGTGTGCTTAGAAATGCAAGAGATCACTTACTAGATTTGATCAACTGTTTTCGACACGGCTTCATCCCGGGAATATCATGTACAACCCAACTATAGCGGTAGACGATTACATTAGGTCCTTGCTGGATGCAAACAGATGTTATATATATGGACATGTCAAAAGCCTTCGATAAAGTAAATAATGAAACTCGACTACTTACAGTAATAAGCTAAACAACTGAAAAACCTGTACTGTCAGTCAGGAGTGCCACAGTGTTCTATATTAGGCCCTACTTTTCCTCTTCTACGTGAACGACCTTCCAGATGCAGTAAAGAACTTAAAATAATTAAGTTTCATCTTTCGCAGATGATAACTAAAGTAGTTAAGTGCATTGACTCCATCTCGGATGCTGGCTTGCTTCAGAGTGACAGAGCACCTTCAACGCCGAGCTTCAAAATTCATCCTTATACAGCCATGTGTACAGAATCATACAAAGAGAGACTGATGTCTATAAATCTGTTACCAGTCTCTTATTGGCATCTATCTGCATTCGCTACACGTAATAGTTGGTGTGCATGACTAATATATATATTTGCTACATTGCTACATTTGCTATACAGGTCATAGTTGGCGGGTATACATGACGACTATATATTTGCTACGTTGCTACATTTGCTACAGGTAATAGTTGGTGTGCATGACTATATAATTTGCTACGTTGCTACATTTGCTACACGTAATAGTTGGTGTGCATGACTTGCAGTATATAATTATATTTGCTACATTGCTGGCAGCTATACATGTCTGTACTGTATTTGCTACGTGAGCTGATAGCCGACGAGGTGCATAGCACCGAGTCGGCTATCAGCCGTATACGACGAGAGCGAATGGTATAATTGTTTTATAATATACAGTAGTCTAATTAACAATTAGACAACAAGGCCGAGTTGTCTATGAGCGAATAGTCAACGAGGCAAAGCCGAGTTGACTATTTGCTCATAGACAACGAGGCCGAGTTGTCTAATTGTTTTAGTATAAACTTTAATATTAATTTACAACTAGGCTGCAAACATAATACAAAAATACACAAAAAACATTATAAAACCATTAAAGGTAAACAAATATTTTAGTTTTTGTTCGCGTAAAATGTTTTACAAAATTCAGATTTAATTTTAAAATTTCATTGAGTGTATGTTATTTTGTCTATTTTCTTACCCTTAAAAATTGCCATTCCATATTTTTGTTGCTTTTTTCGGGGGGTTTTAGTACAGAATTGTTCAACAAGTCGTCCAAAAAATCATCAGACACTTCGGCAAAAGTGCAAAACGCGAATTTTCCGCCATTTTGAATTTTCTATTAGTAGGCTATCACTAATAGCCTACTAGTAGCGTAGCCAATCAGAAGGCACGATATGTGATACCTACTAGTAGGTTTATACTAATAGCCATTAACTGAAGCAATAATTAATTATCCTCTGTTATAATGTCTTGACAATTTGTTCGGCCAAAAACCGCTTGGCGTTGAAAATTTGAAATACTTTTGTTTTACAACTCGAAGACGAAGTGAAAGATTAATGGTTTTAGAACCGGTATATCTCACAGAAAAGCTCAGATATATTATACAGATGTTTGGTAGTATAGTAAGTGCTTGTTGACTGCAAAGTCATTTGTCTTTCGTTGCAAACTTTTCTGAACAATTTATATTTTCAATGAACATGTTTTTTTCGCTGTTGTTTCGGTATTAATTCTTTAAAAAACTTGTATTTAAACTAATTTCTATGTAATAAATGTATTTTGCTAACCTGTCAAATTTTTTTGAGAGTTTTTCCTTGTACTATTATCTTTCTCAAAGCGAATATTTTCCTTTTTCTGCTTCGCAAAACTCGTGTAGTTTTTGGACCGCCATCTTGTTTTTCGCTACTCGCTGTATAGGAGCTGATATACGGCGAGTAATTCAACCAATCAGATTGCAGAGCAGCTCATATACGGTGGATGACTATATTATAACAGTTGGTATACATGACGACTATATATTTGCTACGTTGCGACATTTGCTACAGGTCATAGTTGGCGAGTATACATGTCTGTATATATTTGCTACGTTGCTACATTTTCTACAGATAATAGTTGGTATACATGGCTATATATTTGCTACGTTGCTACATTTGCTACAGGTCATAGTTGGCGAGTATACATGTCTGTATATATTTGCTACGTTGCTACATTTTCTACAGATAATAGTTGGTATACATGGCTATATATTTGCTACGTTGCTACATTTGCTACAGGTCAAAGTTGGTGTGCATGACTATATATTTGCTACGTTGCTACATTTGCTACAGGTCAAAGTTGGTGTGCATGACTATATATTTGCTACGTTGCTACATTTGCTACAGGTCATAATTGGTGTGCAGGACTATATATTTGCTACATTGCTACATTTGCTACAGGTCATAGTTGGCGAGTATACATGTCTGTATATATTTGCTACGTTGCTACATTTTCTACAGATAATAGTTGGTATACATGGCTATATATTTGCTACGTTGCTACATTTGCTACAGGTCAAAGTTGGTGTGCATGACTATATATTTGCTACGTTGCTACATTTGCTACAGGTCATAATTGGTGTGCATGACTATATATTTGCTACGTTGCTACATTTGCTACAAATAATAGTTGGTATACATGACGACTATATATTTGCTCTATATATTTGCTACGTTGCTACATTTGCAACAGGTCATAGTTGGTGTGTATGTCTATTTATTTTTTTTCTTGCGGTCCGAAGTCATATTTTACGCTTTTCTGCAATCTGATTGGCTACGTGAGCGGTCCGTATGAGCCCGTACGGACCGCGCGAGATTTAAAAGCCGTAGAGCCAATGTTTTTATTTTTCAAAATTTAAAGACGAGTTTAAAGGCTACTTTTTAAAACATTAAAATGTCTGCAGACGATGAAAAACACAGTGAAAACGAATTTTACTATCTCACAAAAGATATTTCTCTTCCCGAAAGCATAGATAGAAACGACGTTTTATTTGGCAGCTTCATTCGCGTGCGGGAGGAGTGATTGGGGAAATCCAGAGGAGGAATTAAAAAAAAATAAAAATATTATTTACCGGTATGGTCGGTCCGTATAGAGAAATATTTCTCTCGGTCTTAAAAACGTCCCTCGGCCTTCGGGCTCGGGCCGTTTTTAAGACCTCGAGAAATATTTCTCTATACGTACCTCCAATCCGGTAAATAACATATATATATTTGCTACATTGCTACATTTACTACAGGTCATAGTTGGTGTGCATGTCTATATATTTGCTACGTTGCTACATTTGCTACAGGTCATAGTTGGTGTGCATGACTACATATATATTTGCTACGTTGCTACATTTGCTACAGGTCAAAGTTGGTGTGCATGACTATATATTTGCTACGTTGCTACATTTGCTACAGGTCAAAGTTGGTGTGCATGACTATATATTTGCTACGTTGCTACATTTGTTACAGGTCATAGTTGGTGTGCATGTCTATATATTTGCTACGTTGCTACATTTGCTACAGGTCAAAGTTGGTGTGCATGACTATATATTTGCTACGTTGCTACATTTGCTACAGGTCATAGTTGGTGTGCATGTCTATATATTTGCTACGTTGCTACATTTGCTACAGGTCAAAGTTGGTGTGCATGACTATATATTTGCTACGTTGCTACATTTGCTACAGGTCAAAGTTGGTGTGCATGACTATATATTTGCTACGTTGCTACATTTGTTACAGGTCATAGTTGGTGTGCATGTCTATATATTTGCTACCTTGCTACACTTGCTACAGGTAACAGTTGGTGTGCATGACTATATATTTGCTACATTGCTACATTTGCTACAGGTCATAGTTGGTGTGCGTGACTATATATTTGCTACGTTGCTACATTTGCTACATGTCTGCATGTAACATGTCCGTATATTTGCTACAGTTGTAAATTTAATATTAACATGTCATCCAGCGTCGAAGACGGTGTTCCTACTGTGAAATACCCGAAATGGTAAAGACAAAGGCGAGGTAACGGCCAGCACGCAGCCTATTGGCCTGCCATTTAAGTCGATCAGAAATTAGAAACTGTTGATAATTAACTGCTTCGAAATTATCTCAGCCAATCAGGGGTTTTTTCAGGGATTTTTTAGGGCCGTTAAACGGCCCCAAAAACTCAATCTTGAATTGAATTTTGAAACTCAATTTTCTCACCAAATTTTCAGTGCAGTAAAAATGAAGTTGTTTGAGTTAAATTTGTGGCGTGTGGAAATTAGTTTTCAGTTGGAAACCCGACAATTAAAAAAAAATGCTGGAATCCATAGCTCACAATACAAGATAAACTTATGCGTTCGCCATCTTTAACCAGTTTATAGTGTCCCTTAGTGCCCCTGCTTTAACACATTCCATCTCAACTACATTTATTGAGTACAAGTGTCAGCCCCCCCAGGTTGGGGGGGCTGACACTTGTGGATACAGTTGCAGCCACCCCAGCTGTTCAGCTGAACTCAATCTTTTCTGCAAAAACGGACCCAAGACAAAATCCTGAAAAAAAAACCCCGCAGAAATCGTCCTTCTTGGAGCTGCAGGTTAGCCCACTCTTGCCAGTGCGGGCGCGCTATAATTAGTATTCGCTAATACCGTTCAGTTTGCGGCTGAATAATGTAATGTCTTATAGCTAATACCGTTCAGTTTGCGGCTGTATTTCGATTGTTTCTAGACCTAAACCACCTAAAGTTCAACAAACCAGTAGATAGAGGAGATAAATTTGTACAAAATATTAAAGTTTAACAAAAATCCTATAGAATAGCAGCGGAGAAATTTATAGTTTAAAATTCGTGGCAAGTTGTATTTAATATCTATTGGCAGTGTGGATAGCTGTTAGGAAAGTATCATTTTGCAGTGCCTAGAGAGACGTTTTGTTGGTTTTTTGCGGAAAACCATAAAAGTACTAGTTAGCTAATGTGACTTGCATGGGTTTTTTTTCTAATTCATTTGGGAGAGAAGAAATGGCTGTATTTGTCATTTTGACTTTTGAGTGATTGAATTTAGTTAATTTACACAATATCGAATATCATGTTGAATGTCATGTTGAATCTAATGCGTACTTCACAGTGGTATAATTACAATAATAGTCAGCAAAATACTCCATATCTTCCATTATAGTAAAATACATTCGAAGTGATTGTGAAAATCCGCATTTTATGTAAAACTTAATACATTGTTTTTGCCAAACGTCATTCGCAAAATGGATGATTTTGCATTCGCAAAAAGCGAATTTACAATTTTACATTCGCAAATTGCGAATAGCGAGCAGCTATTAAATTCGAACCCTAAATTTAACCCAAGTTTTCAGAATTATATTGAGCTTTAGCCTTTGGCAACATCTGAACCTCTTTATTTCTGAAAGCCTTAAAATATCAAATGTTGAGTAGGTTGGTCAAGGTTTTGGTAAGGCTTTGGATAAGCATCAGCTTAGGATAAGCATTAAACGTTTCTTACTCGACATAAGGTCACTTAACAAATGACAAATGCTAAAAGTCATACAGTGTACGTTTTGCCACGGTAGTTTTGCTGAACAGCTAAATACTGCAGCTTCACAACCTCGATCATTCCTCAATTCGTGTAGTCAGAAATGCGGAAGTATCCGAATAGCGTTAAAATTTAAAAATACGTTTTTGTCAAGACAGTAGGATATTATGAATATAAACGATTTATTAAACGAAGTCTCGATTAAAGTATGTACTTACCTTTTTCGAAGCCTCTTTGTGCCAATCGAGGTGCCAATACCAAGAAAAATACAGATTGAGTCATTTGACAGAATGAGCCACTCGTCGGATCATTTTTGGCATTTCTCTTCCGTGAAAAGGCTAACCACAGGCGGCCCAATCTCGCAAGAGTCAGTATAGACTTATAGTATAAATGTATATTTATATATTAATGTATATTGTAGTAAAAATATGTCGTAAAATATAAATTTTAAAATGAAATTGACTTGCTATTTGATAGTGTGTGTTCTCCTTTTATTCCTCCTTTGTTGGACTAATATTTTCCGAGACTTTGTACTCGATGTTACTAGTATACATGAAACATGATAAAGGCTAACCATTCCCGATCGTCGATACGACGGCACGGCACTTCGAATC